AACCCTAACTGATTTTATTTTATTTTACCTTATCCTAATCCTATTCGACCTAAATTCCAGCTGGAAAAGGGGGGGATTAATTTCATATTAGGAAACCTAAAAACCCTAATTTCGTGGGTTTCTATTGGGCCTTATAATGCCTAAAGAAATCTGCCAAATAAAACCCTAATTTCGTGGGTTTCTGCTGGGCCCTTTTACCCTAGATCTTCCACATATATAAAGGAGGGGTTGCCGCAGGAGAAGGAAGTTCTTTTGGTGCCGTAGCAAGAAAGGAGAAAGGGAGAAGAAGAACTTGGTGCCGGAACCTGCTGCATCCATTGGGATTTTCAAAGTTCTTCCCTTGATTAGTTCAAATGTTTATTCTAGATTGCTTTTCAATTATTATGAACATGTGTAACTGAATTTCTTCTTAGTTAGAGGTGAATTCGAAGCCATGGACATATGTTTTACATGAATTGATTACTTCCAGTTATGGTTTCATAAAGTATGAATGTGATTTACTTTTCTGTTTTATTGAGGACTTATTCTTGCATGTTTATTAAGGATGCATACTTAGTTTGTATGCAGGGATTTGATGCTAGAATATAAGGGAATTTCACCTAATCGTTATGAACTTATATTCATAAGTAGTAAAAGTCACTAGTCATGATTGCGTTAAGTAAATTCTTGGCAGGAGTATCATGCTTTTCATAGTTACAATTGCCTTGTCAAGGCTTATGATTTTCATAGAACTTAATGATCTTTGATATGTATCTCTATCATGCTGTTCATATAGGGAACTTGATAAGGATAATTTGATTGCGTCGCTGAGTCCAATTCAATGAACTTAGGAAAATCTGAGAGTTAATTAGTGCATTCACAATTAATTTGGGGCTTTGTCATTCATACTTTATAGAAAGAGTAACTGGAGATCGATTTGTGTGCATATGTTCCATGTGTGGAGAAGAATCCTCTAGCTATCCCTTAATCCATATTTCATTTACAACTTAGTTGTTTGCTGCTGTCAGTTTTACTTTATTCTAAATCGTCCAAATCCCCCCCAATCATTGTTCCCTTAACTTAGTTTCTAGTTTAATAAGTCTAATTTGTGTTGATTAGCATCCCTCCTAATCCCCGGAATAGAACGATCCCTACTTACTCGTACTACGATTGCATAATTTATAGGGTTTAATTTGTGCGTTAGTTATTTTTCACGCCACATCACGACGCTTACACGATGCTCCAATAATGTTAACGACACTACTAGCCGTTGTGAAGAAAGTAGCAATGTTTTCATTACCCTTTGCCACGGCTACAAGAGCTAGTTCTAGTTGATGTGCAAAACAATGGACATAATATGCTTGAGGATATTCTCTCAAAATCTGTGTTTTAAGACCATTGAGCTCACCTCTCATATTACTAGCACAATCATACCCCTGTCCTCGTAGCCTGGACATGCTCAAATTTGTTGAAGAAATCAACTGCTCAATTGCCTCTTTCAATTTGCTACTAGTCATATCAGAGACATATTGGACACCCACAAACCTTTCAATAACTTGCCCTTTTTTGTTCACATAACACAACACCACCGCTATTAGCTCTCTTATTGAAACATCACGTGATTTATCTACCAATATAGAAAAGAATGCATCGTCTATATCACTAATAATTGCATCAATGGTTTCAGCGGCACAAGAATTGACAATATCTTTTTGAATTTTAGGAGCAATATACTTGAGATTCCCTGGAGCATTCTCAAACACAACGGCACGAACTTTCTCATCATGATCGGTAAGAAATTGCAAAAGCTTCACATAATTACCCTTATTGCTAGATGTTTCGCTTTCATCATGGCCACGAAAAGGAAGACCTTGTCGTAATAAATATCTAGTGCAATCAAGTGCGGCAGTTAATAGAATGTGATAATTAACACAAGCTTGGTATGTCTGCTTGATCACAATGGTTTCAACGTGTTGCATCTGATTCATTAAATCTGTACAATATTGTGTAGCTTTATTGTGAAGACTTCCAACTTGTCCAACATGGTCCCTAAAATTCTTAGGTCCCTTCCTCCAATTTTTAAACCCTTTCTCGGTGAAGACATCGCTTCTAGCCTTTGCTTGTTTATCAAAGTCGCATTTAAAAAGATAATAATGAAGACAAAATGCAGCATCTTTCTCTTTACTATACTCCAACCAAACAAATGAATCAAACCATTTCACAAGAAAACGTCGATTACTCTCCCCCGTAAGTGTTTGAGGCATGTCGATTTGGCTTTTAGGCTGACAAGGACCCCTTTGCAGATAGGCTCTTCGGATTTGTTCTCTAAAGAATCAAACCATTTCACAAGAAAACGTCGATTACTCTCCCCCGTAAGTGTTTGAGGCATGTCGATTTGGCTTTTAGGCTGACAAGGACCCCTTTGCAGATAGGCTCTTCGGATTTGTTCTCTAAAATTGGGATTATAATAAGTCATTAGAGGTCTAAGGCCAGGGTTTGCAGGAAGATTAGCCAATATTTCATCCAACTCAGTAGGCGGATTATTTGAAGGTTGATTTGAACTAGCCGGATTATTTGAAAGAGGGTTGGAACTAGCCGGATTATTTGAAGGAGGGTTGGAACTAGACAGATGATTCGAAGGAGGATTTACTACCCAGATTATTTGAAGGAGGATTTAAACTCTTTCTCTGAAAGTACCGTTCCATAACTGTACAATTGAAACAAAATAAGGGTTTTGTATCTATTACTATGACTAATTGATTATAATTTATCAATTAAATAAATCAATCAATATCAAATTATCAATTAAATAAACAAATAAAAATTAAGTATACCTCGAGTTTGCAACTGATCTTACTAATATAGAGAGAGCTAAATAAGAAAAAAAATTATTAAAAAAAGAATAAACAAAATAGGTGTTTGCTCAAACAAAAAAAAAAATGCATTCGACTTACTTTGGATTGGTGTACTCAAGAAGGAAAAAAAACGCAGGATTCTTGTGATGCACACACACTTTGATGAAATTGGGTGATGTTATTGGTCTTTTATAAAGAGAATTCCCAATTCTACTTAATTAAGGAATTCCCAATTCTATTTCATTAAGGAATTCCCAAAACCCAATTGAATAAAGAGAACTTCCAATTAAAACCCAATAAAGTAAGGAAATAAAACCCACAAAAAGCCCACGTCAAACAGCAGCAGTTTCCCCTTTTTTTTTCCTTTTTTTTAATTTCAAAACCCTGGTCCAAAACGACATCGTTTTGGCCAAGTTTTTCAAAAAAAAAAAAAAAGGCAGCGCATTTTTAAAAACCTGGTCCAAAATGACGTCGTTTTGGCTAGGCTTCGTTAAAAAAAAAAAAAAAAAAAAAAAAGCCCTCGCGCGCTGCGCAGCACCAGCAACTCCCCAGCCCAGTGGTTTGCGCATTTCATCAAACACATTGTGTGCATCGCTGGTCTGAAGAGGAGGTGCAACTCCAACATCTGTAATGGATATTTCCAGCGACCGGAGGTGCAGGCGCACCTCCTTGCGCCTACACAAGTCCGCCACTGGGTACGGGGACATGGGAATATGACACAGTGACATGGCGACATGGAAAATCTCAAAAAATTAGGACACGGACACGACTATGACACAACAATTAAAATAATAATTAATTCTCAATACTTCAATGTCACAGAATTCCATAAAACAAAACAAATAACTCATGAAATACCAACACCAAAAAAAAAAACACACACACACACATCAAAACATAGAAATAATTATTTGTTGTGTTTCTGTTCAAAACATAAGAAAAGAATCTTCACCTCACCACCAAGTCTAGCTCTTCTATTGTTACGGAAGGACTGAGAAAAGAAAATAGAAAACATAAATAAAAGCATTTGAAAATAAAGGAAAAAATTTTGCAAAAACACTCACCTTTGCAAAAGTTGGAGAAGAGGAGAAGAGCTACTACAACAGAAGAAATGAAGTGAAGTGGCTGCTACTTTCGTGAGATTCATTTAGGTTTAAAAAAGTCTTTTTCCACTTTCAACCCATCTTTTTAAAAATATTTCAAATCAGTCCACTAAAGTTTCAAAAATCACGTTTAGACCCCTATTTTTATTTTTAAAATTTCAATATGGTCCCTGCCGTGTCTTGACCGTGTCCCAGCCTTTGACTATGTCGGAGGTGTGTCGGGGGCGTATCGGAGCCGTGTTAGAGTGTCGGCGGCATGTCCAACACTCCGACACTCCAGCATTTTGGAGTGTCCGTGCAACATAGGAAGCTACTCCTTTGCAGACGAAGAATGTGTCTCCATTAAGGAAGAAGCCAAGGTTCCCTTCTACTGTGAAAACTCAAGTGGGGTCTGCTCCATCATCATCTGTCAGGGTCAAATGTCTTGCAGGTGCAGATAACAAGAAGGTTGGTGGTATGCGCGGTGTTTGGGGTGTTCTACCCAAGCCTCCTACTGACAAGCTTGAAAACCATGACCTGCTTCGTGAGGTAGCTTGTGCCCAATCTAGTTCTGCCGAGCATCAAAGAGATGCAGACATTCCTCCTCGAAGTTCAAGTCATCTGCATCAATCAAAAGATGGAGATCAAAGCGGGAGGTCTGCTTATGATCCAAATGTTGAGTCACGGGCAGTCAAGCGTGGAGTTGATTCAGTATCGTTGACTCCTTTGGAGGTGAGGTTGGTGGAGGCTAAGAATATGAGAAAGTCATTTGCCCGGGCTAAGGGTTCTTCTTCAGCGTCGACGGTTGATACCAAGGCGAACAAGTCTAGCCCTGCAGGGGATGCATGCGTGTCTGATCTAGATGGAAAAGAATTATTCCTCCCCGATTTGGAATTGATTTCATTAATTAGGGATTTGATTTATTAGGGTAAATTAAATCCCTAATTGTGGTAGGTATCAAATCAATTCCTAATTTAAGTAGGTAACTCCTCATTTAATTGGGAATTGTGGTAGCAATCAAATCAATTCCAAATCGGGGAGGAATAATTTCTTTCCATTTACGGAATTATTCTTCTGAAACCCTAGCCTCCAAGACCACTATAAAAAGATGGATACACACAAGGGTTGAGCTATGTCTGAAATCTCTACTGAAACTCTGCAGAAATCTTCCCCTCACAAACCCTAGCAGCCTCCTCTCTCTCTCTCTCTCTTACATAAGGCTCCGACCGTCCGGTTTACACCATAAACATATCTACGTACCCTACTAGCTATTGTTTTCTATACGAATCAATTGAACTAACTTAGGCATTGGAAGGCCTTTGGCCAACATCCCCCGGGTGTGGTCCTCTCATTTGTTCTATTTTGCAGGGAGAAAAAGGCGGCGAAGAAGAAAGGGGAATCTTTCCAATAGAATATTCTCAGGGGAAAATTTGCTCCCACAGTTGTTATGCTCCTACTCTCAAGTGCACCAACAAGGTGGTCAATTTGGCCAGCTAGTTTTTCAGCACCTCCAACTCTTCTTCCTTTCTTATATTTCTGCATATTTTTATTCAATTGTTAAGGTGCTCTCATTTTCCCTTTCCTAGCAGTATTCTTGATAGCTTGAATCGTTCCAATTGGATTGGAATCATATGAGTAATCACTTCCTTCGAGTGAAATAACATTACTCATGGATGCCTCTTGAGTTTCTAGTGGGAGTGTACCACATGAAGGTGCCCAAGCATGTCCACCAGTGGCTGTGGTATTCATGAACATCCTATCTAGTTTCTCCTCAATCTCACGATTAATGCCTTTTTTACGCAACTTTGCATATTCAGCATTTATCTACATTATAGAGACATCATTATTAATATAAATGCATGTTAATAAAATAAAAAGGGGAAGACAAATATTAATTTAAAAACAAATATTGCACGCACTTGAATTTTATTATTCCACCACTCATTAGATGCATCAACAATACCCTTGCTCGAATTCCACCCTAGAGTAATTTCTTTGCATATGAGTTCTTTCCACAATTTCCATTCAATTTTGAGTGCATCCCACTTATTTTTCCGTTGCCCCTTATAATAATTATTTCTTGTCTCTTTATTAAAGTTTACTCTCAAATTTTCTCATCCTTCTTTTTGAAAGTGAATGCCAGGACAACGTCCGACATCCACCTCCTTGATGCACAAATCATAGAATAGGGATATATTATGATTATTCCATGTAGCTGGAGCTTTTGATAAACTTCCCACATTCTTTCCCATCCTTACTAAAACAAAATGGGTTGAGTTTGAGAATAATAGCAAATAAAATCCAAATAACATCTTAAATTGCCAATATGAGAAAAGGAGAAAAGCTCATCTTTATTTAAAAATTAGATGTCCAAAAATCATTATAATGAAAGAAGGAATCATCTTGATCTTGTTAATCAACAATTTATGTATATATCACAAAAGTATTAGAATTTAAACATAATTAGCAGCCTATATCTAGCAAGAACATAGTTAGCAGCCAATAATTACATCTAGCAAGAAGATAACAACATATAACAAGAATATAGTCAACAATTAATAAACACCTAAATCTAGCTACATGCTCTAAGAGTGGCATAAGGAGCCACATCTCCCCTTTTTTTTCAAATAATTTAGAGGGATAACGAAACCTACATTCTAGCATAATGATCTTTCCACCCAACACCAAAAACAAGAACAACAAACTAAGGTGGACATTGTTGTCCATCCGACATGTGTTGTTTTGTATAGATAGCGTAATTGTACTGCGAGTCCCAATTTTTTTTCTTTTCATATCTTGGTACCAAACAAAAAGAAGACATCAATAAACAAAGCCAAAATCTGAAAACTATATAGTTTCAAGGCAACCAAAACAAAAATATCCAATTTCAAATAAACCCATCAGTACAACAAAAGAACAAAAATTAGAAAAATAGAACATGAAACTCATCACTCTCTCCCTCTCACTAACTCATTCACTCACTCTGGTTTTCTCTCTTCATCCTAAATCCCTCAACAAATAGAAAAAACCCCCAATTTGAAAGAGAAAACTCTAGATGCATAAAGTTTGAGAAGTAGAAAACTCAAAAATTAGAAATGTAATTAAGTTTAAGTTACTTTTGAGTGGGCAACCTTCTTAGCAATGAATTTTCTCACGTGCACAATGAGAATTCCAGCAATAGCAAAGAGTAAAGAAGAAAGGGGAGTTTGTATCGCTTGATGTAATTAGAGGGACAAAGGACTGTCCATTTGAAAAATAAGTGAGGACATTATGGGAAAGTCAAAATTTCATTAAAACCACCAGCTAAATTTTAGCACCTTTTAAAAGCTAGGTTCCGAAAGCTTTGAAAAAACAGCGGTAACTGACAAATTTTTTTTTTAAAAGAAAAAAAGCCCCATTCCTCATGGTAAACACCCATATGCAATAATTCTTTATTAAAGCCGCTTTTTAAAAAAATTTAAGCACTACCAAACTGTTGGCAGCGCAAATCTCACGGCCTGGTGCTCCGGGCCGAGGGGATGTGCGTTAACACATGACGTCCTTCTTTTGGATACAGTGTGGTTGTGCGCGGGCGTGCCAGCACGGTCTACCGTGCGTCAAGATGGTGATGAGGTTTGGGTAGAAGATGGTTTAAATGATGCGCCTCTTTTGAGTTCGACTGCTGATCAAACGATTGTGGCCGAGAGAGGAACTGATCTCGGCTGTCAGGTTCACGGCCTGAGCTACAAGGCCGTTTAATGGTGGTGTTGGTGGCGGGTTTTAGGCAGTGCTCTGGCGCTTTGCTCAGAGAGCGACGGTCGTATGATATATTGATGAATGGATTTTCCTTACAATCTACCACTACTACTAGGAAATCAAGTAAAGGTATTGAAAGTGCATTATAGGAAAATATAATTTGCTCCGTGGGATGCTTTTGGTTTGGTGTTTGAACCCCTTGAATGTAGTCTTGAGCTTAGTATTTATAGGGGAGTCTTGGAGGGACAATCGAGGTTGAAAAGATCTGCGTGGTGGAGCCTGATCGGGGCAAGTGGGTAGTCAAATCGGCATTTTGGATCGTGAAGTATGGTGGTGTGACCCCCATGGATCTGGGTAAATCTCGGCCACGGTCCTGATCGTGGGTTCTGCCCCCTTGGCCATGGGAATGCATTTAATGCCCTGGTCTGGTGGTTGGTGATCTGACCTCAAGTTGTAAGCATACTTGTGAGTGCCTAACCACTCTGATTTTCATTACCAAATCCTGACTTCAGTCACTTCCCCTCTCCCCTCGTGCATTAAATGCTTCTTGCGACTAGTGGGCTTGCTGCGATAGTCAGATGCATTACTTCATTAAATGGGGCGTGGGACCCTGAGGCCACGTGGCGATTTGACCGCAGTATCTTCGACCATGTCTTTTACGACCATCGGCTTTGGCCCATAATACCGCGGTCGCGAGGCCGAGAGGATTCTGCCTTCGCAGCTTTTCTTTTGTTTTCAGGAAGGCGAAATGCCTAACGAAACGTGGCCGTTTCAGTTCATGAGTAGGTGCTAGGGCCAAGAGGAGGTCCCTTCAGTCAGTTTATGACCGTGATTTATTAGGCACAAACACAAACGCCACTTTAGTCTCACCAAAACTTCACCGTTTAACGCAAACACTGACTACTAATTAGGCAGATTAGGCAAGAGGCCCGGTAACTAAGCAAAGCTTGGTGAAACAACATGTCTTTCTTTTGTTTTGTTTTCCAGTCCAACTCCATTAGCTTTCTAATCAACCCATGTAGAAAGTGTTAGGCTAATGACTCCCAAACTAGATTGCTTTAAGGCATTAAGTGTAAAACACACATTGGGCTTAATAACTCGAGTTGATGATGCAACATGACAAATAAATGGCTAAAACCTTAGCCTAGAACATGGAATTTTGGAATCTACCAGGGAGATATGAGGAAACCTCAATGTTTATTTGATAAACTGGAATAACAAAACATAACTATAGCCACGGGTAAAATATGTTTAGATACTCATAGAAACCCTAGGAATAACAAATGAATTAAAATAGGAAAATAACAAAATTTCCAAAAACTGTAAAAGCTTTAAAATTGTATTTCGGCCTACGAAATGATCTTTGATGCCCAAAAAAGCCCGTACGTCAAGGCAAAACGACAGGTCGTGGGCCCGATTTTGAGATTGGAGCTCAAATCTGCAGTTTACCCAATTTGACCTTGTGCGCGCTTCGCTCCAGCTCCTCTTCAATTGCTTTCGCCATCTATTCTACATCAATTGAAAAGGCTTCGGAGTATGACTTTTTTTGTGTACTATTATTCAGGCTTGCAAGGCATTAGGCAACATTATACCAAGCAAAACAAGGCTTACACAACTCAGCTCTACCATGATACTCACCAAATTGTTAATGTGCATCTGAGTTAGTAAAGATTAAGCTGGTGGGTTACAAATTCAAAAGACGCAACTACTCAAAACTAAATAATGCTAGGTTCAATGCATGTGTTCTCAACCTTAAATTCACGTATAACAAACACATTAGCACTCGAAATTCAAATCATCTACAATTAATAGCTATCCAGAACAAAATTTCATAATTTAGACAACATGCAAACATCCCAACTAAAAAACTAATATGTTGTCAATAATTTTCATATTCGACTTTTGTCTAGTGTTTAGCATGTATCTCACAAAATACTGGTCCAAAATTGGCGTTCTTTATGCAGTTGGATTCATAATGCAAAAGCAAAGAACACGTCGCAGACTGATTTTCAAAAACAATATCCAATGAAAGAAGTATTTACGAAACATAATCCCTACATTGTTTAGAAAATAAAGCCCTTGCCCCAAACTTAATTGAAACATTGTCCGCAATT